CGCTCGCCCGTTTCCCGCCGCTTCCCGCCGCTCCGAGTTGGTGGTGTCCTGCTGCTGATGTCGAGAGCCCACCTTCATGGCTGCTCGACGCTCGCCCGTTTCCCGCCGCTTCCCGCCGCTCCGAGTTGGTGGTGTCCTGCTGCTGATGTCGGCGATGGTGTCCCGCCGTGTCCCTCCCTCCCCCCTTCGTCTGTCTCCCGCCCCGCGCAGCTTCTCGCCTTCGCCACCCTTCCCCGCGCTGCCTCCCGCCTTCGGTGCCCACTCCAACATCGGAATGTTGTCCCCCTTGCCCGAAAATTTTTTTGGGGGAAGGGTCTGCCGATTTCGAAAATTCGAAATCGGCAGGCCCTTCCCCCAAAAAAACTTTTGGAGGCGGGGCGCGACCGGTTTCTGGAATCGCGCGGCCCGGCCTTCATTTTTGCCGGGGKGGGGGCCCGCCTTGCTAACGAAAACCGATTTTTTTTTTTTTTTGGCACACCCCTATTTTTTGCGGTTCGGGGCGCCGCGGTGCGCCGTGCGGTGCGCGGCGCTACGTGCGCTGCTCGTGCGCAAACCGGCGCACCGTCGTGCGCTGCAACTATGTGTTGTACACAACACAACCAGCATCAGTCCCAATCAGCTGCATTTGGGGTGGAAGCCTAGATCTGCACTAGGTTTCCTCCTACCTGAAAACCGACCGACTGCAACACTTGGAACCATAGAATTTGGTGTTCAGTATGAAAAATTGTTGCAAATGGCTGTCGAGCACATTAGAAAATCTCAAGAGGCAATGATTGCCTTTGGGAACAAGCACAGAGGACAGTCCACATTTCAGGTAGGGGAACACGTCTGGGTAAAGGCCAGTGAACTGAGACAGGAATTCGGTATCCCTAGAAAGCTAATGCCGCAATACTTTGGTCCTTTGGGAAGTCTTAGATATCGTGGGTAGTGAGTGATCTAGATGGTCCCTCGTACGTCATAAGAATCCCTTGTCATCTGCGCACTTGCCCTGTATTTCATGCTTCCAAGCTTGCACCTTTCACAGAGACGGATCTGTTCCCATCAAGAAGGTCAATGCCCAACCATGGATGGCCACGTGGACGTCTTGGAACATAGAGACTTGCCTGTTCCCAAGCCTGTTGGCAGGCGAAGACCACTTAAACCTATGAGGGAGTACCGGGTCAGATTCTGGCAGCATACGGATCCAAAAGAAGATCGTTGGTTCACAAGACAGGAGCTTGTCAAGACAACACCTCAGATCGTGGCTGAGTACGAAAGAAGACTGAAGGGAAAAGCACCTGCGTAGAAGCATCTCAGCGGACTTTCGAAACTAAGGGGGATGGAATGCGAGGAATGAGCCTCGCGGGGCCCTTATCAGGCATCCAAGTGTTCTGGGCTGTGGCCCCCAGCAATCCCCGTGCCCGCCGTAAGTGAAGGCGGGCCTGAATATTCAAGTGAGGCCTGTTTTCAACATTTTCGATATGTGGGGACTCAGATAGTTGCAGCACGCCAGTTGGTTAGAGAGCAACGTGAGCCTCCAGGCTCTTTCCCAAAGCAAGGGCTGCGCTGTACAGTTGAGCCCAGGGCTGGGCACACGCTGCATGAGGCTGTCACATCACGGACTGGCCGCAGGCCAATGAGAAAGCATCATTGTCGTTACACATGTGCCCCGAGCCAATGAGAATGCTGCAAGCACTTGGAGGCTGGGTGGCTGCCTGGGCATGCCTAACTGCACGAGCCCCAGGCCAGTACTCCGAAACTCGACCTGGGCGCAGATACTTGGGCCCAGAGTCAAGCTACTGGGCCCACCCACACGCCTGGACATGCCAGGCAGCAGCGGGCACACTTTCCATAAAGGAAAGTGTGTGTCCCAGGGGTGGGATATTCTGGCGTGAGCAGGCATTGCGGCCACACTGCTGCTTTGTCGTGTGATATTGCGCTATGCAGGCAGGCTGTGGCGCACTCGGGCGCTAAGAGGCGAGAGGGCACCGCGGTGCCAATGGGTACACAGCGGCCATAGCCTTGCCGAGCGTGCGGTAGCAGGTGTTGGAGATGGTGGTCTTTGGGTAGGAGGCGTATGCAGAGGGGAACCAAGGGGTGATGAGGGGAGGAAAGGGAACGTACCTGGTGTATGCTGGTGGTCGGCATTGGTGTTGACGTCATGTACATTGGTCTTCGACTTCGCTGTGTGCCAGCCGCATGAACTTAGGACGGATAGACTGAGTAGTGTAGGCAGGGTGCTGGGTGCCAAACAATAGGAGTGACATAGGATACAGTGTTGGTGTTACCAGAGAGCGTCTACATTGGCACTCGAGTTCATTGTATTACTCTTTATTTGGATGGTATCTTGGTGCATTTGTGCTCTCTGCTTGGTACATGACTATCTGGACTACTTCGTGATTTTGCAACTTGGTTTTCTGTCTATCGCTCTCGATCATATTCCTTGCACAAACAATGGTTGAAGTACTTTAACTGAAGTTATATATGAGGCAATAACGAGGATACACAAACACAAACGGAGGGATACACACACACACACACACACACACACACACACACACACACACACACAAACACACACACAGGGCGGTATCACTTAGGCTGGGTGAAGTGGTGAGTCCTTGCCCGTCAGTCAAATGTACACTGGGCAGACAGTCAGGGTTCAACCTCCTGATGGGTTGGTGTCAGTCAAATGCACCCTGGGTAGTCTGCCGGGGTTCAACCTCCTGATGGATCAGTGAAAGGCATACGAAACAACCCAGCACAGTCATAGCGGACATCTCAATGCACAAATACACACACA